GCAACACTGAAGCACTTAAAATGGAACTCACTTAATGGAGAATTTAAAAGCAGAAATGTGAAGCTGATAATTCTACAAAAGCATTTAAACGAGTTATTCTGTTATTTGAGCTATACATCTGTTTAAATAATTTTTACAGTCAATTTTATGCCTTGTGGTGTTACTTTTAAAACATTTACAGATTGGCCCCATTCACCTCCATTGTCAATGTCTCACTGTGACCTGAATTTCTGCTTTTTTAATAAAAAGGAGGGACAAATGGAAATTAATTTTTGTGACAAATTCTGTCAACTGAGCTTACTGAAGATGTGCATTTATCTTATAACCAGACAGAAAGATGGTACAATATTTTCACAGTGACATTCAATCAGTGTTATCATTTGATAAACTATATATAGTTTTTGTCAATATTTTGAATTTGATTTGATTTTTATTTTTTTCTGTTTCTGTTTAAATGTCTATATAGTGTTTATATAGTTTGCATTAAGTTTTAGTTTATTTAGTTTTAGTTATTTTAGTACTTTCAATTTAAACTAAACAAAAAAGAGAAATGTTACCTTGGCAACTAGCTGAAATAATTTTTAAAAACAAATTAGATTGTATATTTTACTTCAGTTAATGTTTAAATTACTTCAAGTAATGAAAATGTTTATGATTTTGATTTTAGTTAACGATAATAACCCTGCACTCGGTAACAAATTTCAAACAAGCTTGTCATAACTGAACTGCTTAAAATAAGTGGGACTGAATCTGCAACATACAAGGCTTTCCATCAGGATCATTCTGGATGCATACAATCAATACAGAAGAGAAAACATCAGTCAATATCTGAATGTCCATGTCAGGACCACCACACCAGTGACCCGCAAGCTAGAAACTTTCCAACAGTTACTCCTTCCCGTAATTAATGTTACAGTTCTGGAATCTATAGACAAAGCCTGGTTATTGTACTTGGCACAGCTGGGCATCTTTTGGTATGTAAATGAAACAGACTGGAAGGATTGCAGGGGGCTTGAATCCCCCCGCCAGACTCCACTGCCACAGGCTATTTAGAGATCTGCTCTGTGCACTACAAGGGGCTTTTCTGGTTCCCTGCCAAACAGAAACCCAGACGAAAAACCAAATACAAGCATACAGTAGCTTTGTCACCACACATGCATTATTCAAAAGCAGGCAATGGACCCTCAAATGCAGCGTAATTATCAGTCACAGCTAAAACTGCTCATAAAACTCACCAAATTCAAGGTTGCCTTCTGTAAAGGAAGACGAGGCGGAAACTTTCCCCAGAGGATGAGGTTATTCTGGGCCGTGAGTGAAGATTTCTTTCCCACACCTACTCACAGACATGAGGAACCACTGCTTCTCCTCTAGGTGATTTAAAAAAGCTCTCATAGGATGGACATCATCACCTTTAAGGATAAATACACTGTTAAACAACAAATGACTATCTGACTAATGACAAATTACTATAAAATTACCATAAAAACTAATAGTTATACAACTTTTAATAAAAAGTTTTGTAAAATCATAAACCTCACATTTCAGCATAATAAATGATTGTGCATGTTATATATATATATATATATATATATACACACACGTGACAAGTGGACAAGTGGATTTTTTAAACGGCAAGTGAGAGATAATTTTACTTGAGTGATTAAAACGTCAAAAACAAAAATAACTACTGAAACTTGGCCACCAAAAATTTTCGCGCGAGAATGATTGTGATTTTATTGCATTCAGTGTAAATGGCGACTGATAATGTATTTATGTTGTGCCATGAGGCTCATGCAGAAATCAAAACGAATGAGCGCAACAGAACTCGTAGTACAAGAAACTCAGAAATTTATAGATGCATACTGCCGTAGAAAAAAAAATGCTGTTTAATATATGATATAGGTAAGCAACAATACACGACCAAGATGTTTCCCCGAATATCAACACCATTGCAACGTGACACTGATTTTATTCAATAATAGTTCAATAAACAAGTTAAAATTTGTGACTTACATTTTAGACACAATATTGACTGTTTTTGCTCAATTTCGCAAACGAAAATTGTTACAATCAAAGCCACAGCAGAACTGTTGTGTGTCTCCGAAAAACACATTAGCGGTGTTTCGTTACTGAATGAATCCCCGTTTTTGAACGAATCGAGTGAGTCAATGATTCAGTAACCCATTCAAAACTTGCCTCGTTTCTGAATGAATCAGCCGTTTGAACGAATCGTTTGAATGAATGACTAAATGACTCACTCATTAAAACAGTCATTTGCCGCCATCTACTGGTGGTTTGGTTTCATATTTGAAAAACCACAGCTGCCGGTTTTCTACCGTAAATTTTACGGAATTTTTTTTACAGTGTATGACATTTTTATTTAAATTTTCTTCAATTTTGCGGTGTAAATGCATTTATGGCACCTCTCAGTTTCATTAAACGGTTTCTGAATGAATCAGCCGTTTGAACGAATCGTTTGAATGAATGACTAAATGACTCACTCATTAAAACAGTCATTTGCCGCCATCTACTGGTGGTTTGGTTTCATATTTGAAAAAGTATCATTGCATTTTTCCCAACATTTCTTATTTGTATGTTCAAAAAATGATTTAAAACATTAATCTTTTTACAGTGTATGACATTTTTATTTAAATTTTCTTCAATTTTGCGGTGTAAATGCATTTATGGCACCTCTCAGTTTCATTAAACGGTCTGTGTAAATACATCTAATGCCACTTCAGATGCAGCTTCTGTGTTTCCTGCAGTGGAAAGATGGAGTTTGTTGATCCTGATTTCATTTGAATGGTAACAACTTTCCACTTTCTTATTATTCTGAATTAATTGAAACAATGTAAGAATTTGATGTGAAAGATGACACACTTAATAAGGTTGGGGGAAAATGACCATTTATAAACATAGTGGGAAATGACATCCGTTTTGTTATATACAGCAACTCATTTTCAGTTTATTGTTATTTCTACCTCTTTCCAGTCAGAAAGCACTTTATTTTGAGAGTTATGTAAGAGAACATCTGTAACAGTCCAGATTGGGGGAATTGTAATGTTTAATAAATGATGTAAATCATTTATTTGCATTGAAAAAAAAGTAGATTTTTGTTTGTATATGCTGTCAGTTATAGTTCTTAGAAAGAAAATCGGAATCGGCAGGTCACACTCATCCAAAAAATCGTGAATCAGACAAGAAAACTGCAATCGGTGCATCTCTAGCTGAAAGGGTCCAGATTAAGGGTTTTACATACACTGACATCAACACACTAAAGGCTGGTAGTTTTAGACACCATAATATTTAAAGATAGACTTAATAAAAATGACTCCTCACACTCCTGATACATCAATGTAAATAAATAAATCAACTAAAATTGTTTACAGTGCATCATATTCAAATCAATACAATACAATATCCACTGACCCTAGTGTCGCACCACTGTGGGAAAAACTACAATGTGATATTTGGTATCAAAATAATGAATTATAAAATGACATGTATTGAATTTTGTGATCCTATTGTCTTCCATATTATATCTTCCAGAATATATGTAATTTTCACTGTTCAAATGTCTCTTTGTTCATGGGACAGCTGTGCATGCCATTGATCACACTAGAGTATGTATACCTGTCTATAGATATTTTAGTTGATTCATTCATTTCCACTGTAGATAATATAAGAATGCAAAAAAACTAAACTCCAGAAACTATCCCGTGACTATTTCATAAAATGGTTACATTTTATGCCTGTACAAGCAGATTTGTGCCTGAGCATGATGGTAAAAATTTTATGACCCTCCTCTAAATCACTAGTCACTATTACTTATGAACAATAGTGAAAGAAATGACATTTTCTGAGGAAAGGGCACCACCTACTGGAGTAAACTGGAAAGTGACCAAAGTGAAGCATTAACAGCCAAGCAAATCTAAGGGACACATGTATTTTTAGACTGTTGATTTACTTGTTGAAATTTTAATTTGTTGCAGGTCAGATTTAAAACAAATGAACTGGGTTACAAATACTGGAGAATTAGAGAAATCGGAGGAACAATACTTTAGAAACTCTCACTCAAAGAGAGCAGTCAGCAAAACTTTAGCATACACACACACACACACACAAAATAATGAAGCAGTTTGAGCAAAATAAGTAAACCCACATAAAAAAAAAAGAAAAAAAAGATGAACCCGGATGCCGGATGAATATGGAAGACTTGAACAGCTGAACAAGGGCTTTTAATTAAAAAAACAAAACATTTCATATGCTTCATCAGATCAATCATATTCATAAGCAAAGACCACTGAACCATTTCGCCGAGCTGCAAATGCTAACAGCTGCCAATCGCTCTCAACATGAGCTAAAACACTAAATAATCAGCTTTTGAAAGTTGGAATTATAATTTGTTGCAGCCAGGTCAGAAATCGGGGGAAATATTTCAGAAACACTCTCACTCAAAGAGAAAATAATTAGCAACACACACACACAATAATGAAGCAGTTTGCGCAAAATAAATAAACCCAAACAGTAGGTACAAGAAATTCAATCATTTTAAAGTTGACAGCAAAATGAATATGGAAGAGAAACAGATTATTTAACATGCTTCATCAAAATCAATGACATTCATTTACATTTACATGTAGTCATTTTGCAGACGCTTTTATCCAAAGCGACTTACAATTGGGGAATACATAAAGCGTTTCTTCTTAAAGAGGCAAACAGACACAGGAAGTGCTGAAATACCAAGTTTTAGGCATTGTTCAAATAAGTACAAGCTAGAAAGGGAAGAAACTGTTCTATATGTAAGCATCAATGTCTTGAACTTGATGCGAGCCGCGACCGGTAGCCAGTGGAAGGAGATAAAGAGAGGTGTAACATGGGCTCTTTTGGGCTCGTTGAAGACCAGTCGTGCCGCTGCATTCTGAATCATTTGTAGAGGTTTGATTGTGCATGATGGAAGTCCAGCCAGAAGAGCATTGCAGTAGTCCAGCCTAGAGATGACAAGGGCCTGGACAAGAAGTTGTGCAGCATGCTTCGTTAGAAAGGGCCACATTCAAAAGCGAAGACCACCAAACCATTGGCTACAAATGCTAACAGCTGCCAATCGCTCTCACCGTGAACTAAAACACTCAACATTCAGCCTTTGAGAGAGAAAAACAACCAGCGGATATGTTTAACCTCTGCGTAAGATCAGATAGCAGGCTTTCCAGTTTGATAACCTTCACACAACAAGCAGAAAAAGAAACGCTAGCTGATGACGAATTCAGAACCTCATCAGAAGAAAAAAACACTGATTCATTGTGCTCTCCAATAGAGAACACTCACAACCTTTAAGTCCCTCGATGTGCAATAATTTGCTACGATTCATGTTTACAGTCAGAACTCGAAGTTGAGCACACAGATTCTAGTATATTGGTACCGAATAGTCTGTGACGTCTTATAGTGGTGCAGAAATGTTAAAACTGTGCTGTGATGGATTCTATGATGTCCAGCGCCACCAGGCCACCCTCATCCGATCCCAGACAGCCTCTAGAGAGTTGATGGCTGGACGCACGTCCAGGATGGAAAACTGGTAAGTGTCTTTATTAATATCCCCATCGTAGTAGTCAATGACATATCGGACTTCCTTTCCGCACCGATCTACGATCCAATCATGTCGGTCGAAAGGCAATTCATATCTACAGAGAAAGTTAACGGAGAGACATCAAGCACTCTGAGGCTTTTTAAACACATCTTTTGGGATTTACATTTATATCTCACCCCATCCAATGACGTATTCTTGCTCTGGGCAAGAACTCTTTGGCTTTTCCCCCGAATCTCTTCAGAGATGGACCGCATGGACACTCGCTGCCAGAGACAAATGTGTGTTTGAAACGAACAGTAATCTACAGCGCTATGATGATTCTTGCGTACTTGGCAGTTTGTAGAATCAATGCAGATCACACTGCCAGTGACCATCAAATGACAAACAGAAGGCGACTAACACGATATTATCACCTCGCTTATCTGACAGCAACAGGGCTACAGAGATGATAATGAAGCTTTCATCTCATTAAAATGTGTTTGGCATCACAAGTTACTTTATTATCAGTCACCATTATTTCTGCTAACAATATAAACACTTCATTTGAACACATTGTAATACAGTATGAAGTCTGTTATACTGGCCAAGGCTGTGTTTGTAAATAGTGAAATATTATTACAATTTAAAAAACTGTTTCATATTTTAATATATTTTGAAATGTAATTTATTCCTGTAGTACTTAGTACTTTTTTCAGGATTATTTGATGAATAGAAAGTTCAAAAGAACATTTTTTTTTTCTTTTTTCTTTTGATTAACACAGCATGCTCTCAGTCATTGGTCATGTGAAAATGAAGTTGTGCTGCAGTCACCTGACATGCAGCACTTCCCACTTCGGGCTTATATTACACATTATGAATTATTATTACATAAAATCCACAGATATCAAGCTCATGATAACAGATGGTGCATGACTCACTTTTAGGGGACTCTTGATGCATGGGACACCCAGGGGGTGGGGTCGCCCCACCAAAATGAGGCACTGACATTGCAGACTCTGCTAGAATAGTGGGGGCAAGACTGGATACAGATGCACCCATGATGAACACCAATCCTGAAGAGATCAAGAGATCATCAAGGACACCTGAAGATCAAGTAGATCCTGTTGCATCATTACTTGTGTTATGCTGTTCATAGAAAATCGATTTTCTTTCTTAAAACTCATTATTTATTCGCTCACATGCCCTTCCTAACCTGTAGGACTTCTTTCTTCTGACAAAATATGGACTTGTATCACAAAAACTGACTATATAAGTTTAATAAAATAGTAAAATAGTACAACATGATGTGAGACAATTTGATGTACCATATTTGAATCAATGCAAAAATATATTTTTACTCACACAAAGTTATCATAAGGCTTCAAATGACTTAATATGAATATGTGGCATGAACTATTGTTATAGCGTGTTCATGGTGTTGTAATGGTCATTTTTGGAGCTGGTGACAATTCATTCTCATTGTTTGAAAAAAATATTATTTTTTTTCATAACTCTGGATTATATTGGTCATGTCTTCTGGAGCAAGACTGTCATCCTTCCAGCGCCACCTAGCAAAACAACAAACAGCAATTAGCTATTTATAGCAATTCAGAACAACAAAAAAAAAAGACTGATTTTCCTTGCAAAATGTGCTAGTCTTTTCTGAACAGTATCAAAACAATAGCTCCGTTCCAAACGTAGTGTGCTGCCTGTCTAGACAGCATTTTAAGGAATCATAGGCACACCTCGAACAGTAGGCAAAAAAAAATTGCCTACCAAAATGCCAAATTTGACCAAAATATAATGTAGCAACTCCCACGGATAAAGCAAGAATAATGTAAATTATAAATAATAATACATGAATAATAATTTAAGAAAAAACAAGAAAACATTTACATCTAAAATAAATGTACATATTACTGTATATTCCTTTTTTTTTTATTGATTATGTTATACACTTACAGCTATATTTGCACACTACCGTTCAAAAGTTTGGGGTCAGTATTTTTTATTTTACTTTTATTCAGCAAGGATGCATTAAATTGATCAAATGTGACAGTAAGGAACTTTCTGAAGGATCATGTGACACTGAAGACTGGAGCAATGGATGCTGAAAATTCAATTTTGCATCACAGGAATAACTTACATTTGAAAATATATTCAAATAGAAAACAAATATTTTAAATTGTAATAATATTTCACAATATTACTGTTTTTACTGTATTTTTTATTAAATAAATGTAGCCTTGATGAGCATAAGAGATGTCTTTCTAAAACATTAAAACAACATGCTAACATCAAATTAAGATCTATTTGTATGTCGTGTGGAGTTGGAGTTTCTTGGCCTTGGGGAATGATATGCTGTTTTTTTTCTATCTAGGTAATCAAATTACAGCACTCACAGGCTTCCTGAAGCGAAGCCAAGCGGCATATCTGGTCCACATAGAGCTCTCCAAAATATAACAGGGCACGTGTCTGGTTGTAAAACACGGATTTAGGAATCGGGACATAAAGGTAAACTCACCCCTTCCGCAGCATGGCATTCCAGAACATCTGTTCAGAAGGATAAACCCAGTTCTGGCCTGTGCCTGATCGTGGGATTTTAGACTCCTCTCTTTTCACGGACAGAGGGAACGGCTGGTCCGGGGTGGGCACCTGGTTTGGAGGGGACATCTGTGGGACAAAAGCAACATTAACACACATAAACCAAAATAATCTCAAAGAATGTCATCTTACTGACGGGATGCCAAGCTCACCATGTTCGCGGGATCGATGGCTCCATCAGAAGCTCTCATGGGACATTCGACAAACTCATAAGCTCTCTCCTGATGCGCTGGGCCGGCCAGTGGCGTCTGAGCCTGATGCATGGGGCACTCAGGAGGCGGAGAGCCTGGGTTTATATTACACATTGTGAATAATTATTACATAAAACCCACTGATATCAAGCTCATGATAACAGATGGTGCATGACTCACTTTTAGGGGGCTCTTGATGCATGGGACACCCAGAAGGTGGGGACACCCCACTAAAATGAGGAGCTGACATCGCAGACTCTGCCTGAATAGTTGGGGCAAGATTGGATACAGATGCACCCATGATGAACACCAATCCTGAAGAGATCAATAGATCAAGAACACTGAAGATCAAGTAGATCCTGTTGCATCATTACTTGTGTTATGCTGTTCATAGAAAATCGATTTTCTTTCTTAAAACTCATTATTTATTCGCTCACATGCCCTTCCTAACCTGTAGGACTTCTTTCTTCTGACAAAATATGGACTTGTATCACAAAAACTGACTATATAAGTTTAATAAAATAGTAAAATAGTACAACATGATGTGAGACAATTTGATGTACCATATTTGAATCAATGCAAAAATATATTTTTACTCACACAAAGTTATCATAAGGCTTCAAATGACTTAATATGAATATGTGGCATGAACTATTGTTATAGCGTGTTCATGGTGTTGTATGGTCATTTTTGGAGCTGGTGACAATTCATTCTCATTGTTTGAAAAAAAAAAATATTTTTTCATAACTTTGCATGTTGTTTTACGTTATAAGTAACGTACTCTTTTAAGATACATATGGGCTAACATAATATACCGCCAGTGAGAGTACAGCTAAAATAAATCGTTTTGATCATTTAAGTACCATATTTAAAAATTTTTGACATTTTCCAATCCCAAAATATAAGAGTTAAGTTACAAAATAAGTTATATAGCATCATTCATTCATACACAGTCATGTAAAGCAATGTCACTGAATATCAAACACCATATTCCTCTAAAAACACCTTCACTAAAACGTAACCAGCTTTTTAAATATCTTGATATAATAATATCGATCACTAAAGGTTTACAAATGTGACAGCATAACTCACCTTTCTGTGTGTCACTAATGCGAGGAACGGTGTTGTGTAACATTCGGTTCCCGTGAAAAACTGACGCTCTGCAGTCTGCAACGTCAACGTGCACCGCTACTTCCGCTCCATCCAGCATGCAGCGCGTGCTGCCGAATACGTAGCTCATAAATATTAATTACATTGTGCTTTTTCTGTATTTTCTTTTCTCATTTTTTATTTTTCTATTTTTTATGTAATAAAATAATAAATACTTATAACAAACTAATAGGCGAGACGTATCGAATTAAACCAACACAAAGGTTTCACCCTATACAGTCTACGGTTTAAAAAGGACACAAAATCATCATGAATCAAAATGAACATATTGCTTTATTGAGGCAAATGGCATAACGAAAGTGAAAAATTAAGACACGTGAAAGAATAAACATGTTCATTCCTCAGGTACATGCACTTTCCTTCACTATGGGAACAAGCTCCCTGTGGTCACCGAAGTAACAAATTGTAAACCTTTACACAGCAAGTTTCCGGCTGTGACATTTGTGTATGGAACGCAACAGTAATAAAAATACACAGTCATGATATTGTGCATTGACACATTCCATAAATTAAACAAAATAAAAAAAAACTTTGGATTTGTATGTATTGAAAGGACTTTTAGTAAAAGTAAAATTCAACATTGTTTTGACAAAAAAAAATAAAAATAAGAACTCTTAAATGACATTTAACTGTTCACAGATTCATAATTCAGTGCTTTCTTGGAAATGACCAGCAAGGTTCTGAAAGATAATTTACATTGAATGAACTCTTCCCTTATTTTCCTTTGCTTGTTTCAGATTACTCTTGTACAGTGTTATAAGTCATGTCTGTTCACCCAGCTGGGCGTTTTCATAATTATACGCAGACTGTTGGTGTGTGCCACCATTTACTTAATATGTACGATTAAGAACAGCCATTCTTACTTTTGACCTTTGGTTGTAACATTGGTGAGAACTAAAAAGATAAAACAATTAAAGTGATAGTCATACATCCTTTAAATGACCATACAATGAACCATGTGGTACAAAATTACACTAAACGACACAATAGGACAAGTAAATAAAAGATGTTTATTTAACAAAACAAAAAAGGCATTGAGTGATTGAATACAAAGGCAAAAAAAAAAAGAAAGAAAGAACAACATGGATTCCTGTATATCTCATGCCAGTAAAAGACAATCTTTCATGGGTCTGGCTCTCAGAATAACACATTTTAAAATCCAAGTACTTAGTTCATTAAAAACAGAACCACTTTAAAATTATTTCCACGCAAATCGCTGTAAGCCATCTTAAACTGTCATTCATACATTTTAAATCAAAACTCATGCGCTCACATCTGTGCCGCCATTGAATGCACATGTACAGTATGAGTATCTACACTAAATTCGGCATACATAGTGACAATGAATTTTAAAATGAATTCATAAAAGTATCACTGTATTGTGAATTCTCTCATATGCTGTATATATCTACTCGGATACATTGACTACTTTTATATCCTTCCGTTAAAAAAATAATAAATATGCCGTACAAACATTATCATGCTGTCCCAGCGCAAAACTGGTTCAATAAATTAGGTACGATGCAGGAAAATGATCCGACGTTGAGAAGTCCTTGAACATTCACGAGCTACACTCTTCTCTACTCTTTTGAAATTACTTTTAAAGAAAGAAAGAACAACATGGATTCCTGTATATCTCATGCCAGTAAAAGACAATCTTTCATGGGTCTGGCTCTCAGAATAACACATTTTAAAATCCAAGTACTTAGTTCATTAAAAACAGAACCACTTTAAAATTATTTCCACGCAAATCGCTGTAAGCCATCTTAAACTGTCATTCATACATTTTAAATCAAAACTCATGCGCTCACATCTGTGCCGCCATTGAATGCACATGTACAGTATGAGTATCTACACTAAATTCGGCATACATAGTGACAATGAATTTTAAAATGAATTCATAAAAGTATCACTGTATTGTGAATTCTCTCATATGCTGTATATATCTACTCGGATACATTGACTACTTTTATATCCTTCCGTTAAAAAAATAATAAATATGCCGTACAAACATTATCATGCTGTCCCAGCGCAAAACTGGTTCAATAAATTAGGTACGATGCAGGAAAATGATCCGACGTTGAGAAGTCCTTGAACATTCACGAGCTACACTCTTCTCTACTCTTTTGAAATTACTTTTAAAACCATTCCCATATCATAATCGATCATTTAAGTTCAGTATTGATCGGATGCACTGTACACCAACGTAATTAAAATAATTACCGTATGTTCGATAACATTTCTATGTACAATGCAAACATTCAGAGAACAACATTGCCGCATGCAATTAACTGTACAGTGTGAACAAAGCATGACATCCGTTTCATGGGAACGGAGCGAAATCTGAACAGAATCTGGAGCGAGTGTAAACCGCTTTCATTCTTAAAAACAGTTCTGTATTAATGCAATCACAATGCATCAATGCTCATATCTTGTATATATAAAATATGTTGCCTATTTAACCCACAGTTGGATCTCATCTGTGCATCCGTTAAAATATCTAATACATCACAAGTATGTGATTTTAAATTTCCAGGAGATTCTTGTTGAGTACACTGATCCAGATTGCCGATTTTCCTCGTTTAGTGCAGTGCAGTTGTGTGGACGAATCTTTCACAGTCAATATAAGCGGCTTTGAAGTAAACGTGAACATCAGGTGACTGACCGCTTGGCCCCTTTGCACAGTACAGTGATTGAGAGCGAGGGACTGAACTTTGATGAATAAATAATGTGGTTTACCTGCCCACAGTTTCAAATTAAAACCAAACATGGTTAAAATACAGTTCAGCCGGTGAACTCGAACAGTGCATCGTTTGCACTTTTTGGTGTACAGTTTCAAAACGAACACAAAACAAAAGTGGGCGGCCAGTCTTTTCTGGTGTACTAGATCTCAATTTGACAGTTTGTCAGAGTTTCAGGTCTTAACTCTGTTAAATATTGCTCTGGGGTGGTTTTCAAAGTCTTTACCGGTCACTATCACACCATAGTGCCCCATGAAGACCGTCAATAAGACAACGACCCTGTCTGTGAGCAAATGGTGTAAAATTCGAATGTCCTTTCTCTTCGCTCAATCGGTTTTTCCGTTCTCCTGGCTCTCGGGTTTGGATCTCCGGCTGGAACGCAGGACTTTGTAGCAGCCGCGAGCGATTTTATGCATCCACATGACGTTCATGATGTCCAGGCAGATGCTGGAGAAGATCCAAGCGCTACGGCCGCCGAAGGAGACCTTGTAGAAGGCCTCTGTGCCGTACACTGAGCACATTCGACTGTAGTATATCGGCATGACGGCGATCCGCACCAGGAAAAACACGGCCGCCATCAGTACCCCATTAGTCATGTTGGGCTTGGATGCTTTGGGGTAACCTAATACTTCAAAGAACCAGCTGGAAAACACAGGTGAGCAAAGTGACATGCTGTAAACTACCTGGTATCTACAGTACCATCACAACATTCATGTGTGTCATTTCTTATTAAAGACAACACGAAATGGCATTTGAAAGGAATAGTTTACTCAAAAATGAAAACTTACTCGCTCTCAGGCCTTTCAAGATGTAGATGAGTGTTTCTTCATCGGAACAGATTTAGAGAAATTTAGCATTACTTCACTTGCTCACCAATGGATCCTCTGCAGTGAATGGGTGCCGTCAGAAATATGAGTCCTCTATCCATAATAATGCTTTCTCCAGTGAAAAAGTTGTTACTGTCTGATTTAGGAGAGAAATATGCACAGATCAAGCCAGCGAAAGCAGCCCAAAACAGTTCTAAACAAATATGTTTAGATGTCTTTTTCACTGGAGAAAGCATTATTATTAACTCGTATTTTGGATAGAAGTAACGGTTTATACTTAAAATGCCTTAATGATGATTTGTTTCTCACAAACATGCAGCTTTTCACTTCACAAGACACTAATTGATGGACTGGAGTTGTGTGGATTATTGTGACGTTTTTATTAGCTGTTTGGACTCTCATTCTGACGGCACCCATTCACTGAAGAGGATCCATTGGTGAGCAAGCGATGTAATGCTAACATTCTCCAAATCTGTTCCGATGAAGAATTTAACATTTTTGGGTGAACCCACAATGAAATCTCTTTGGTCAAAACTCCCGCACCACTTTAAATAATAAGTTACATGTGTACAGATTGGCTTTGCTTTTGTCTAATTGTGTTTTTACTTTTGGGAAGAAGATGCAAATAACAAATAATGGTACAAAAAAAATAATAATAATGCTGGAAATGTTATGTTACAGTTAGGACACAATGTTAAGCCATGATACTATAGCTAATAATTTTAAATCATAATAATGAATCCACACAATAAAACTAGAAACACAAAGTAAATAGTGTTAATTCAGATCTCATGTTGTCTTTAATGGTTTCAAGATGTAAATATTTTGTACTTTAATCGGTCAAATACCTACCGTTGGTTTACACACGGTGTGGAAAACTCTGCAAGCAGACGGAAGTTAGCAAAATAAGGCAACATTCCTTGACCCTGGAAACACAAGGTGAAGAACAAACAAACTATGACACGGACACGAGTTATAGAAATGCACAGCCTCATGAATCAGCTCCAACAGTCTCAATATCTCCTTGCTGTCAGGTTCCCACAGTAATTGCTTCAGTGCCGACTGTCGAGTTATGATACTTCACTCTGACAGACATAACAAAAGAGCAAAGTAAACAAAAAAATGTAGAAAATAGAAAAAGGGTTGCATGGATAGTTATTGTATTAATATAGGATTTATTTTAAGATCAAATAATGTCCTTCAGTTTTTATTGTCTATATTTAGCTTGTTATTTTCAGTGAATATGTAGAGGACTTACAATTTTTTACTTACAATTTAAGTAAAATTGCATCCATGTATGGAGTAGAAGAATGCATGATAATTAGAGTGATTACGCTAATATTATGTCAACTGTATGCATTGTTAAATAATAAATCATGAAATAAATGTCTGTTTTCAATTATGTACTAAATAAATAAAGCAGAATAAATTAGATAATCTGGCTCCAAACTAAAACAAACTAGTTTTTTGTTCA